CTACAGATGATTTTTAGTCCCGGTTTAAAACCCCATAGCCATTCTACGATCTTTAGTCCCAGTTGGTAACACCAACCGGGACTAAAGATCATCTTTAGTCCCGGTTCATCCCCTGTCAGTCCCTTGTCAGAGGGGCGAGGATCTTTAGTCCCGGTTGGTGTCACAAACCAGACTAAAGATCACCACTTTAGTCCCGGTTGGTATTACCAACCGGGACTAAAATCACGCGTAGTAGTATATAATCCCTATTACCTATTCTCTCCCCCACTACCGGCCTCAATCTCCTCAACAACCGGCCTCTCCTCTCGTCAGATCCATCTCCCTCTCCTCCTCCCCTTCCTCCCCTTCCTCCTCCCATCCCGGCCCTCTCTCCTCCCCCTCCTCCCTTCCCATCCGATGCCCAGCGAGGGCCGCCTCCTCCCCCTCCTCCCTTCCCGCACGCATCAGGCAGGGCCGCGCCCGGCGGGGCCGCACGCAGGCCGAGTAGCGAACGGCGGCAAGCGGCGCTACCGCATCCATTCTTTTTTTTTTTTTTACAATTTGTGATTCACTTAGATGTATAATTTTGTGATTTATTGTATGGATCTGAGATGTATAATATGTGATGCATTTGGTTTGTGTGTAATTTTTTTAAGATTTGTGATGTATTTGATTTGTGTGTACAGGTAATTTAAGATTTGTGATGTGAATGTTTTGGATGTTACTTTGATTTGGGGTTTGATTTGGGAATATGCATCCCACTTGATTTGGGAGAAAATATAGGGATTAAACTCTGGCTAAAAAATAATGAAAAAAAAAGAAAAGGAGACCTAATGAGACTGCCGCTACCCTCTCTTTAGTCCCGGTTGGTGTTACCAACCGAGACTAAAGATCATCTCTAGTCCCGGTTATTTCATCCGGGACTAAAGATAGTGGTGATCTTTAGTCCCGGATTCGTAGTTCCGGTTGGATAACCGGGACTAAAGGGGGGTTACGAACCGGGAGTATAAAGGATTTCTCCACCAGTGATATTTCATGGTCCTTCAGTTATCACCGTCATCTCAGAAATTACCACAACCCGGAATCAATAAAGAGTAAATTTCACGAAACTACAGATACTTGTGTCAAATTATTACAAAACTACAGATTTAAGAATGTATATCACAAAACTACAGATTTAGTGTTAAACTTTTCATGGAACTATAGATTTAATGCACCATATCATAAAACTACAGATTTAGTGATTAAGTTATTAAAGAACTACATATTCTAGAGTTTAGATCATAGCACTATTATTTATTTAAAGTTATAAAATTTGTAGTTTTGTGATAAAAAATAGTTTTTAAATGTGTAGTTTTGTAATAAAATAGTTGTTAAATCAATAGTTTTGTGATATAATACCTTAAATCTGTAGTTCCATAATAAATTTAACTCTAAATCTGTAGTTTTGTAGTTTTGTGAAATACATTCTTAAATCTGTAGTTTTGTGATAATTTGATCAAAGTATCTATAGTTTTGTGAAATTTACTCATCAATAAATCACCGGAATTGTAGGTAGTCCACGCGTATGTTCAACATATTCTGTTCAATCTTCATAAAAGAACACGTAACCAACAAAGTCCCAACTCATGGAAACCAATCCTTACGTACGTGAGTATGTGAGATGGCTGTTCTCTGCCATCCTTTAAGTCACACACGCATGTTTTTCTCATAGACACCTAATAAAAATACGGTTATAAAAAGAACACCTAACAAAAAGAGCACACGTCTGGGCAAAGAAGAAACAAGTCTTTGCGGCACACGTGTGATCAATTAGATCCATATGGATACAATATTTTTTCCGAGCGAGAACCGTATCACTATACACGCAGCTGTATTTTGGCCACGAATATCCGCTTGCGTAGTCCTGCTTAAGCCTTACTACTTCTTACTTTTAGATGTGTGCAATAATGACTCAGCTAACAACCACCTGGCCAGTTGTCGAGTAGGAATCCTAATTAGCGTGCTCGTGTTAGGGAGAGAAGTCGTGTGCGGTTCCCGGCCGCGCGGTGATAAGTTAGGGTTAATGGTTTTTGGGCAGGGTCGGGGGAGGGTGGCACCAGGAGGGGGAATGGGGGATCGGGTTTAAAGGGATAGCCTGAGAGGTGGTGGACTAACGGTGGGTGGCATACAAGGGCAAGCGACGAGGCGGCGGAGGTGTCATCAGTGCCGTGGTGTCGGTAGCAGGCGGTGGGTCTCGTGATGGTGGCGGAGTGATAACAATCCGGTCCAGGTGGAGTTGGCCGAGGCCTAACAAATTAAAGTTGTCCGGACTCCAACAGTTCTTAGGTACACCCATTCGGGGAAAGGCCCAATCGGAGACCCTAACAGTTCTTAGGCACACCCACTAGGGGGCCTAGCTCTGATACCAAATGATACATCCGGCCTAGGTGGGGTTGGTCGAGGCCCAACAAATTAAGGTTGCGTTGCCCGGCACACCCACTAGGGGGCCCAGCTATGGTACCAAATGATACATCCGGCCTAGGTGGGGTTGGTCGAGGCCCAACAAATTAAGGTTGCATTGCCCGGACCCCAACAGTTCTTAGGCACACCCACTCGGGGAAAGGCCCAATCTCTCTAAAAGACTGGTCCAATAGGGGAAGGGTGGATCTCCCTTTTAAGGTGGCTTCCTCCTCCCAAACTAAGCAAGGTGGGATTATTCAGAGGCACACATGGTCCCCGCCCGTCTATAACTGGACCACTTGGCCCTTGTTGCGTCTTTCCCAACGGGTAATAGTGGAGGATGTCCTTATCACGGAGACAAAGCGATGCAAATGGGAGAGGGAGGAGGTCGCCTGGCGGGGCTGCGCTGACAAGTTGACACCTTTCTATGCTGGCGAGGTTGGGGCAGTGGCACGATGGAGTGGAGGGGAAGCGGGTGTTGCGGGTGGCGGTATGGAAAGAACTTACCTATTACCAGAGGGAGGAGGCGGGGACTCGCTAGAGAGCCTCTAGCCGGCGCTAGTGCTCTACTCGCGTCATCGTTGCCGGAGTGAGGAGGGGCTCGCTAGAGGGAGGAGGTGCGGGCTCGTTGGTGCCGTCGTCATTATCGCCGCTTTGCTCACTTTGACTCGCGTCTAGGATGAGAGAAACATATAAGGGAGGGAGAGATAGAGAGAGAGAGGAGCGGTCCATGCGTGCCACGTGGAGATAGAGGACAACAAGGGTGGACGCGCGCAACTTCGCCTCCTTGCACGTACACGAGATAGCAGCCCCAAGGTGGTGAGAGCGGCGTTGGATTAGCTGTTCAATTATAGCGAGTGTGCGTGGCAGCATTCCATATATGTGGGATGGATGGGCGGCTGGCCTGCTATTGATTTGGGCTTAAATTGTTGACTAAACTTCCCATACGGTATTCTTTACTGGAGCTAGCTAACTATATTTATGAGAGGATTGCGATAAAAACAATTGATTACCTTCTTGGAACCTGAGAGAGGCAGAAACGTAGAGAAGTACCAATTACATACGAAAATTTGATTAAAACAAAGCAAAAATATATGCCGCCACAAATTTTAGCAAAACAACCCTTTCTTTGGTTTACATACAATAGAATCTGGATCGAATCCTGAACACCAAATTACAAAAAGATGGAGCATCAAATTAGAAAAAAATATTTTATTTGGTTTTAATGAAATTTGTATCTGCTACCTAATTGGACTTGGTGAGCAGGCTAGGAGGTAAGTTCTTTTGGGTGAGGTGCGTAAGAGTCCAAATAGGGCCACAACACGTTTTACATGAACATCCATATACCAATGACGAAGAATGAAAGAACCACCTATATCGTCCAAAGGGGTTTTTAAAGTCCTTTTCTTGTTTTGTGTGGATGTGTGCGTTGACGTGAGGGTAGTAGCAGGTACTAATCTAGGGGTAAGGTTGGTAAGAACCGATGTCCGATGCACCGCTTCAAACCGTGACAGTGGAGGGTATGATTAAATGTTGGAGGAGGTGGGAACGTCGAATGTGGTGCTAGAGAAGGTGGAGGTGGCAGAGGTGGCATACCTAACGCCCTGGGAGTCGGCGAGGGTAGATGTGGATCAAGCATCGTAGGAAGCTAGAACGACTGAGGCATCACAAATGTTATTGAGATGGGTCGGCGCGGGGCAAAAACCTTTATGGGCAGGGCACCCACAGGAATACCGGATGCCTTGGGTGCGGTAGGCGGCTGTGAAGACCTCACGAGCAACTCGCTTATTCCATCTACTCTCCAGCTAGCTCCTCTACTAATGAGATCCTCCATCCCCTCGCCTTTTGGCGTCAAACCAATGAAGAGAGAGATAGGACAGGGAAGAGATATTTTACATGAAAAATTACCTATTTACCCTTAAAGCTCCATAAACTGTTATTCAGCACGTGATTTATACCACGGGTATAATAATTTCTCTCAGATTATCGGTATCGTCAAGTACCAAGGTACCTCAAGGATGGGAAAATAGCTATCGTCCAAAAGGAAAGCTGCCTTGCGTGCGTATGGTAGGAAAGGGAAAGCGTTTGCTTGCAGGGCATGGTGATTGCTATGTTGGCAGAAGAAATAAAGATTAAAGCAAACAAGAAGTTTATATACTGGAGTTGCGGATTTCCCTATCATGCAAGTTTTTTTTTTTAATTTTTTTGTCAAGCTAGAGTCATGCAAGTTTTGGATACATGTAGTGTAACCAACAGAGAGAAAAACGAAAAAGGCCACTAATGAAGAGCAGAAGAAGAAATGTTGATAGTACTTTTGGGTATCGATTACGACAGAATTAGCCCACGTGACAGGGCATAATTAATATATACCTACCAAAGCAGTAACTTCAGCCTCTAATTGAATATCACACCAAAAATCAAGCCCTGAATCGGGTACACCTTTTTAATTTTTTGTGCTGGAAAAAACACGTGTCTTTTGATCCATCATGTACACGAAAAACTAATTAATGAAACTCCTTCTATCCTTCTAACCATCAAGGAAAAACACACACAGCTCCTATATATAAGGCTACAAGAGATCGTGGCTGTAGGTCGAGCAAAGCCGAAATTTTATTAAGTGCACGAGTCGACGGTGTCCGAAAGAGACAGATCTAGCTAGTTCACAACTCTTGAGCAATCTAGCTAGTTCATGCACGTAACGTTAGCACCACCGGCCGGCCGGATCGATCAGGTTGTAGGGATTACGGCGGCGATCGATGGACATCGTCGGCGCGGGCACTTCGCCGGCAGCGAGGTGGAAGGCACCGGCGTCCATGGTGTTGGTGCAGCTCTTCAACTCGGGGATGATTCTGCTATCGAAGGTGTCCATCAACGGTGGCATGTTCGTGTTCGCGCTGCTCTCGTACCGCAGCGTATTCGGTGCCATCTTCATCCTTCCCTTTGCACTCATCTTCGAGCGGTATGTTTTAGTTTTTTTAATTGTTCTTAGCTACAACCGGTTAAATTTATGCTTAACAACAAGCTCTTATGAAACATATCTGAAAATCTAATATTTGGACCACGCAACAATAAATGGCCAAACAATGACGTACGGAAAAAAAGTGGATTTGAAAATATGTTTTGCTGGGTTTAATTGTAAATTAATTTAGTAAAAATATTTGAATAATAAAATATCTTCCAATTTATGGGTTTTTAGATGAAATGTATGGGTATATATTTGTGGGCATACTCTTTTTTACTTAAAAAAAAGTGTTTTTTTATTATCAATAAAAAATTTAATAAGCTGTAAATCGATGGACTCATTGACAACACCACATGTAAAACTTGTGACTGAATGGATGATCATGTGTCGATCTTGTAAGAGGAAAATGCATTGTAAAATCGGGTGTCATGATGAAAATATAATCTGCTTTTGCTAATTTGGTTTTGTGTATATCTTTCAAAAATATTTCGTTTTGGGTAGAGGCAAGTGGAGGGACATTGATTGGAGCGCAACCGGATGGATTTTTTTTAATGCGTTCATCGGGTACGTGTTTCTCTGAAGCTTCAAATGCAGTAAAGTACTGCCTACAATTAAACTTATGATTATTGCATTATAGAATTTTTTGATTCGATCGACAATACGTACATGAAATTTCCATATTTGTACATGTCTCTAACCTGCATATATTTAATTACCTTCGTATCATTTTACCCAAAAAAAGTGCAGATGATTTCAAACTTACAATTATACTAACAGATATTTCATCGTGTTTAATTATGGTATATGGTATTTGTATAGCGCTAGTTTTTAAGCTGCAGTAAATACATTACCCTAGTAGAAAATTAAGAAGAACTTCAGAAAGCTTGATTTTATAAATTAAAATTGTTGAAAATATACCGGCATTGTCACAAAGTATTTATACATCAATAAAGTTCACTTCATTCTAAAAATCTCGTATTAAAAACTGGCAATTCTATACCCAAAACTAAATAATCACTGATTGATATTGGCCGAACAATTGCAATCTAAAATCCTTCCTCTATTCTAAAATAAGTTGGTTATTAGTATTTATAATTTATCCCAAAATAAGTTGATTCTTACCATTGTATCCTTAAATATCTCTTTTATATACACCAACTAGTATTAGTTTTCTATTAATGGGAGGTATTTTAGTCTTTTTCGCTCGCGATGTCTTGGATGCGAGGAATTCATTAATTTTGAGACAATGAGTTTACATTAGTGAGCCAAGCTTTGACAAGGACGGCCAAATTAATGATCTGATTCCGAGCAAAAAAATTCTTGATCAAATTGGTGCAAGAGGGGATATTTCATGAAATTAATTTGATCAAATAACACAAAAGCATTTCGCTAAATCATTTGATATGCCAATTTGCTTTTTATACTTTCTGTATCTCTATTACATTTGTAAAAAATATTTCACCATTCTGCTTAGGGAATCTTTTCAGGCTATTAGCCAAAAAATGGCCTATTTATAACAAAATCAAAGTTTTCACTTCATTTGTATTTGCTTATACTCCCTCCGTCCCAAAATATAAGTATTTTTAGACTCTGACACGGTCTCCGAGATGCCACTTTGACGAACAATATCTATAAAAGTAAGGTGTTTTAAATAAAAAGTGTTGCATATTATGATAATTTGTTGAATGATAAATCTAGTAACATCAATTTTATATGATTGATCTTTTTTATATTTTTGCTATTAATAGTCAAAGTTTAGAATGTTTGACTTGTCACTAAACTAAAAATGCTTATATTTTGGGATGGAGGGAGTAATTTTTTGTGGGTCGAGTGCATCTTAGTTATGTACGGTCTAGAAACTGATTTAAAGATGGTTGTATCCAATTATCTTGATTTCAGTAAAAAGCTCGCCAGTCATGTTTTTCTTTCATTCATAGATACAAATGGGTGTGTTTGCAAGAGCAAGTTCCCAACACTCATCTCTCGTTTTCCACGCACACGCTTTTCAAACGGCTAAATGGTGTGTTTTTTGCAAAATGTTTCGTGTTTAAAAAATCATATTGATATATTTTTGAAAAAAAAGTAATACTTAATTAATCACGCGCTAATGGACCGTTTCGTTTTCCATGCATGGGAAATGGTTCCCAACACCCACCTCCGAACACGGCGGCTGTGTTCTTACCCCACGTTTCCCAGCCTTTCTCCCTCGTTTTCCACGCGCACACTTTTCAAACTATAAAATAGTGTGTTTTTAGTTTCTATATGAAAGTTGCTTAAAAAAATCATATTGATCCATTTTGAAAATCTTTTTAAGCTAATACTTAATTAATCAGGCACTAATGGACCGTTCCATTTTCCGTGCGCTTCCGGTTGGGAACTCCATCCAGCGAACACAGCCAACCCCTCTGTACGAAACGGCTCTCTCGCGAACGTGCGCCAACTTTTGATCTGGCGAATGTGTCGGCCCGCATTCTTTCCCTTTTTTATTTGTTTCCCTTTCCTTTTTTGTTGCGTGGGTCGTTTGCTCTCGGAGGCTTTTCTATCCACTTCGCTAGGCGAGAAGGCGAATCTGTCGGAGTGAGGAGGACGAAAGACGCACGACGTACGGAGAAGGGGAGCAGGGGGAGCGATATTGTTCTTTCCTTTCCAATTTTCAGTTTTCTTCTTTTACGTGATCCATTTTCTTTTTCTTTTTTTTTTCACTACCGTTTTTCTTTTTCAGATTTCTATTTTTGTTAATTATTTTTATTGTTTCTTTAACAGAAACATTTTTATATGAATTATTTCATGAAAACTTTCTACATATACATATAGATTTTATGTATGTAAAGTTTTTATATGTAGATTTTATATATGTAAAGTTTCTATATGTAGACTTTATGTATGTAAAGTTTTTATATGTAGACTTTATATATGTAAACTTTCTATATGTAGATTTTATATATATAAACTTTATATATAATTTATATCTCTGTAATTAGAAAGTTTAGTGTATCAATTTTAATAGAAATAGAAAAATGCTGATCATCACCGGATATTTTTCTTTTAAAAAAAGAGTACAATCCAAACAAAACAAACGTTGTACCAAGAAAACATAAAGCATGCGTATACTTCGTATTTTAACCGAAGAAACAAACTACCGGCTCGTTAGTCATTACTAATCACGATTAAGCATGTAATTTGGCATGTAATTAGCCATGAGGAAGAAGAGATGAAACGGCAGTCGGAACATTCGTGCGATACTACTAGATGCTAATCACGTGCATGCATATATATGCAGCGGAGAAGCGATAAGAGTCCGTTCGCTTGTCGCGAACGCTCGCGAATCAGACTCACCCGAAAATTAATGCATTTTGTATCATCTTGCAAGAAACCGATACCATAATGAAATACATTACATATTGTTTCGTACAGTACACACTCTACGTACTCGTCCATGTATAGAAACTAATTGGACTGCGATGAGTTCCCACGATAATTAAAGAAGAAAAATATCAATTGGGATGGGACTGAAATATAATATTTTGGATTAAAAGTAGAAGAGTTCACATTGGGCACAACTTTTGTAAAACTAATTTTGAATTTAAAACTGTTAAATCAAGAAGAAACTAATAAAATTAAGACATGAAGATAAATATCTATCGGTACTTTTCATTTAAGATTTTCAAAATTATTTGATAGAAAAAAATGGTTATATGTTGAGAAAAGCAATTTTACTGTACTAACAACTGAATCAAAAATAAATTTACTGACCAACCAAATATATGCCAAATTAAACTCTGAGATTATATATATCTTATTTTCTTTTTTCTATGAAGGAGGTGGGTTTCTGTTGTTCCGAACTAAAAAAAAATAACCACCAAGATATGTTGTAGCATTAAAGAACGTGACGATAGCAATAGTAGTGCAACTTGTATTTCGCTTGCATGTACATACGAAAAGTATACGTAACAAAAGGCTGCGAGCCTATCTCTCTTTGTTAGAACAAGGTTTAATATTTTATAATTTATTTTAATTTCCATCTTCAATATTTTTTATATCTATCTCTCCTTTCCTAGTCTGTTGGACTTGAGATTGCCCTTTGCTATTTACTTCTACGTGCATAGGTAGCCTTTTGCACATCCGGTACATTTTTTTTTAACAAAGATTAAGTTTTAAACCAGATTGATGGCACTCTTGATTTAATATGCTCTGATAATTCTCTCAAAATAGTTTGGGCAAAACATAGAAAATTTAACTACACATATATTAACTCTAAAATGTTCTGACTATATGTACATCTTCTTATTTTCATGTTCGTATTACTTGCAAGAGAGAATTCATTCTATGCTACTGAGTTTAATTTAGTTCAACGATTTGTAATCGTTATTGATTTTGTCTCACTCTATAATATGCTACTAACTTTGTCAATTTTTTCTACAATATGCTATTTATTTGGTTGGATACTTTTTAAAAAATGCCTATAAAATATCCTTCAAAACTTACTAGAGTTGATAATTGATTGATCTACTGGAAGTTTCAAAAACATATGAAATTTTTTATATAGCCACCTTATATAATATAGAAGTGTGTATATTTGAAGAATTTCATTTTGCATGCATTAACTTTTTATGAAAATATAATTTATGTTATATATCCTATAGGATACTCTTATGTTAATGCTCTTTCATGTAAATCATCATTCATGTGCTATATAGTTATTTTTTTTATGCGGCTATCTTTCATGTATGTGATTCCTCTTTTATATGCTACACAAAAATAGTTTTTTTAAAAAAACCATGAAAAAAACCCTTGAAATATACAAACAAACATCTACATTTTATAAGAATGCAATGTAAAAAAAATACTTTCATATTTTATTTGAAACATCTCGTGGGTCAATCAATTGCCAACTCTGGTATGACTTGAAGGGCATTTTATGTATTTTTTGAAAAGTATCCATCTCAATGGTATATTGTAGGAAAAAATGATAAAGTCAGTAGTATATTCCAGAGGGAGACAGCCGATGACAAATCGTCGAACTAGAGTACATTTAGTGCCATATAATAGAAAGCATAACAAGTTAAGTTAATGTATATATGTACTAAAGCAATTAATTTGTTAAAAGGATCTGTTGAGCAAAGTGGCAAACTCCAGTTATATATGTCCTTGAACAACAAAAATGAGCTGATAAGTCGGTCATGAACTATACGCTAGAAGGATCTGCTGCACAAAGTTCGGTCAAATGCTTGACCAGAAACAATGAACTCGTGATAAGTCCAACTACTATATAACTGTAAGTTAGTATTTTTTTTTTTGCATAATGAAAAAATAGTTCCAAACTTTGCTGAAAAAAAGTTATAAATCAATTAATACAAAGTTTGTAGTAAAATGACTGCAAATTAAAAACACAATTTGATGAAAGAAAAGAGAACTAACTGGAACATCAGCCTAAAGACAGACATAACAACCTATTGAGTAAACTTCCATCTCTAATTGGTATAGTTGTATGTAAACCACATACGGTTATTGCCCTTCTCAAACCTTTGCATATAATAAGATGTATAGTGAGTGATGCATATTGGTTTGAAGGTAAGATGCAAGTATACAATCATACAACTTGCTTGCTCATGGCTACCGTGATAAAGAAACTTAGCCTCCAATAAGATATTAATTGCTGATGGCAGTATCAATTCGGTGAAAACCTAATTAGTAATCAATTTCTTGATGAACAAATATTACTAATCATCCGAGGCATATTACATTAAGCTTTTCTTTACTGTATGCCAAATTATGCAGATATGCCGTACCAATGAGCCTCTACTACTATGGCCTCAAGGATACCACACCATCCTACTCCGTCATCTTTACAAACATAATTCCCTTATTCACCTTTGTTCTTTCACTTGTGTTTAGGTAAATGTTCCATTCACAATATTTGTTGTGTACAATATATATACATGGCAATAACTATGGGTTCCAACAATAATTATTCCATGGCATGAGAAAAAAAAGGCCATATAGGTAAAACTTAAATTGTGTTGCAACTATGTTCCATCTCACCGAAACATGGATATGTATGAACATGATAGACTAGAGACATTCAAATTAAGAAGCAAGGCTGGCCTACTGAAGATAGTGGGTGTTCTGGTCTCTGTTGGAGGCACAATGCTTGTCAGCCTTTACAAGGGGAAGTCACTGCATCTCTGGAATTCCATCTTGCAGCACCAAAAGGAACAACAAACGAAGTCTGCAACCAATCAGCTAAGAGGGACAATTTTCTTGGCAGGCAGCAGCCTCACCTTTGCTTGCTGGTACCTTGTTCAGGTAATCATATATAAGCATTGTTTCTAACAAGTACATACATATCAGAGTAAATTCTTTTTCTTTTTTTAATAATTATAGGTTGTGTGGATCATCTTGTTGTAATTGTTTGAGATCAATAAAGCTTCATTTGTCTAAAAAATCAGAGTATATTAACTTTATCTAGACCATGTCATCTTATAACTGTTGTGGCAGTCAAAGGTTCTCAAAGTGTACCCGTATAAATATTGGTCTTCCATGGTGACATGCTTGGTCGGAGGATTTCAGACAGCATTTGTTGGAATCATATTAAGGAGAGACAAGAATGCTTGGATGCTAGGATGGGATCTCAACCTTGTTACTGTAGTGTACTCGGTATGCCTTCGAACTTTCTTAAGCATTGAAATTAACTGAACAGAAAGCTACACAAAGAATTATCTTTCTACAAAATTATTGTTCCTATATTTCGTAGTATCCACTGAAGCTTATATTCAGAAATATGTTTGTAAAAAACATTCTGTTATGTGTTTTCACGATGGTCCACTGAAGCTTGAATTGTATTACTCAACAATCCAGGATTTATAAGATGATTTTAGAGCAATGATGACGAATTTTCAGGAAGTGTAATGAACCTAATTAACTGCTGTGATGAAATTGACATGAAACTATTTTGGTGCAGGGGGCACTTGCAACAGCTGGAAAATATAGCCTAAATTCATGGGCAGTTGCTAAGCGAGGCCCAGCATATCCTCCAATGTTTAACCCACTATCAGTCATCTTCACTGTTGTTTTTGACTCTATCCTTATGGGCGATGATCTTACAGTAGGAAGGTCAGTAGCCTTCTTTGGTGTCTATGATGCATGTTCAGTGTTACCAATCAAAATGGATTATGCCAGTTCATGTGCCAAATGCTTCCCTATGCCAAAAACTAATTGACACTCATTTTTTGCACAGCAAAAAAAAAGAAGCAAACTTTGTAAATTGTCTATTATTATTGTGCATAATCATCAATGAACAACAACAAAAGGAGGAACTGAATAAGTTGGTAATGTGATATGTCAACATGAGCTTGTTCTTTTTTTATTACAAAAGATAAAAGTACAACATGGATGACATAGAATAAGAGATTTGCTCCGGTTCAAAAAAAGTACCTCGAAGTATCCGTACCTCACGGTACCAAATTATTTCCGGTTGTTGATTTTAAAATGCCCATCGTGCGCAGCTAGATCCAATGATCAAAAACGATTTGGTATCGTAAGGTATCGGTACCTCGAGGTACTTTTTGCTAGACTGGAGCAAATCTCCATAGAATAAATTTCAGAAATAGGTTACAGAGAACCACAAAAGTTTTAGCACTTGGCATATAAGCACAATAATTATGGTACTCCCTCTGTCCTAAAATATAATAACTTTTAGTACTTAGGATTTGCCCCAAAATATAACAACTTCTCCACCAACATTCCCTTTCCAACCAATCATAACCCTCCACTATTCACCTTTTCCACCTACCTCCACTTCTCAACCAATAACAACCCCTGCCTATTTAATTCTACCTACTTTCTTAATAACCGTGTCCAACTCTAAAACTCTCTATATTCTGGGACAGAGGGAGTACTAAAGTTTTACGAAGTCAGGATCCTACAACAATCAAGCTATATATTATTAGACTCCGCTTGGCATTGAAGTGGATTACGATAATCACGTTTGCCGCAATAACTTTAGGATATTTTGGTGTTTGATAAATTATTTTTCTTATACTTTGTGTTTGCATCTGCGAATATTGTTATGGTCTAAAACTATCAAATAATTGCGAGAGACAACGTCGGATAGGATATTGTATCTAATTGTAATATGATATATATGTAAAACAAACAATATCAATTATTGTTCCAATTTTCATAGCAACTTAAATAAGCACGGTGAAGGACAAAACACCACAACAACTACTAGAACCCAAATAGGTACTGCCTAATATGTGCCGGTTATTGTCAACAATACACACTGAGGCTTACTCCAGGAGTTGATCTACAAATGGACGTGGACATTCCAGGCAGGGTGCCCTGACGTAACAATAGCTTAATATTCATATGGACACTGTGCATAAGGATGGCTAAATTTGTTGATAGCGTTTTATGAAAATGTTATACCATATTGTTATGGTTAAGTGCCAAGTGATAAAATACCAATGGTTTCCTCTAACTTAAACCATATGGCATGTGTATTTGTGAAATTTACTACTGTACTTTGTGATCCTTGAATCGTTATGAAGTGCATTTGCGTTACAGTTTAAATTTTAGTCAACAATTGTTTGAATTGTTCTCTTGTTTTGAATGTGCAGTCTCATAGGCACGGCAATGGTGATTGTTGGGCTCTACCTTTTTCTCTCAGTGAAAGCATGAGAAGGTCCATGGATGTAAACATGTAGATTCTACAAAGGTTCTCGAAGCTATAGAATAGAGTTGTATATGCAGACAGTGAAATGTATGTAATTCAATAATTAAATGTGAAACAATATACTCGAGGAGGTGAGCATGCACTTACACTGTTTGTTTATTAATATTTTGCTCAACAATACTACAATATTTCATTGCACCACTAAAACAAAATATTGGTCCATGAATATAATGCTGCTTGTTATTTTAATTTGAATGGATATCGCGTATAAGTAATACCTTGGAATAAATCAAGCTAATAGGAATAAATATGAAAAATGCACGGACAACGATTTCCATATGATGAAATTTAAAATAGATCCGTCATAAATAGAGTAGTTAATATAATATGTGTAACTTCTAACTTGTTAGGATATAAGCAACGATTGAAATAAATGAAACAATTGACTGGCATGTATATATCAGTTATATAAGGTATAAGGTGTACATGGGTATATGTATTGATTGGGGCCTCCAAGTACATTGTGCCCTAGTCTGCTGCCCCATCGCCCAACCTCAGGAACGTCCCTGATTGGTGGAAAGTCCTATGTCCTCTCATTACTACTTTCTTAACGCACCTAAAAGAACATGGTGGTGGACATGAATTTTCTTCTATTTCCTTCATCCTATATGGTCCCTCTGGAACGCATGAATTGCAAAACACGATTAATAAGCTAACACCATCCCGGTATTAAGCATATGTGTGGTTGTCTTGTTTATATTAGTTGGGTTATTAATCGTCTCAAATGAACACTTTCCCTATAGGCACATAACTATCATCATATGCGCATCGCTTATCGCTCGAGTCTAGAAAAGGTTTTCATCATTTTTCCTTTGCAAAAAAATCTACACCTGTGTGGCTCGACTGCTCAGGTTGAACTACCGAAGCACTAGCTTGCTTAGAAGGACTTTGGGTGGAGACAGAATGGATTCCCATGCCTATAATCTTGGAGACGGATAATTTAGATGTCACTCAAGCAGTAACAAAGGAAGCTCAGATGGAGTAATGATCACGGAAGCAAAAAAGTTGATGCAATGTCTTTAAAGCGTGCAAGTGTAAGATAAACAAAGAAGCGAATAGGGTAGCTCATACTCTTGCTCAAACTGGGCATGAGTTCAAGGTCAAGTGGAAAGTAGAGATTGTGTGCACTTGCGTGTATCTTGGACTTATTGAATCATGAATGTAATCCATATTTTGATAACTAATAAAGCTCTCTGTTTCTGCTAAAAAGACAAAGGTTCCACTCAGTCCAGAAATAATAGCATAGTTTCTAGGCATGGCTAAGTAAGGCCATTATATAGATCTAAACAATAGGAATCAATATCAAAGCAGGATCATGCAAAAAGTAGGTCGTAGATACCAATAATGCACATTTCAAATAGGAGCAATTATGTTCTTACCCTTACTTTGGGTTGAAATTATGATTTTATCTCTGTTTCGTTTTGACTCTGTCCTCACTTTTTTTATTGAAGTTACGGGTTGCCCCTAATTTGTTAGTTTGTCAATTGTAAAAAGACATATGTACCCTTGTATCTTATTGCAATTTTGCCCCTACTTTTGTACCAATATTAATTGTTTTCCCCATCTTTGAATTATGACATAAATTTTGCTCATGTTTTTAACATAATTCAAATATAACCTGAATATTGACATATTTTTATGAAGATTTGACAAATACAACAACATTTCCATAGAATTTAACAATGTTGGCTCTTGGCTCCACACATGCGTTGTTGATGATATGGGCTTCACTAGTGCTCATTGTAGACACATCATCGTTGTTGGTATTTCTTAGTGACATTACTAGAAATATAATTCTCAGCAATGACGCCCAAATATTCTCGATATATTTATGGTTACAGATATGATCCGCAAGCGCACGGATATACCATTGCATTATTTCACCCGGAAGTAATTCAAGGTATCATATTTATTTAATTCCAAAGGTAGATATGATAAGAGAATACTATGCTAATAATTTATATATTGCCTATATACACCAATGTCTATGCAGGGGTTAATCAATTCAAGGGTAGGATAAGGTTGACACATAGAAGAAAGGACTAAGGTACTCTTCACTAAAATATAATCTAGGCTAAGTGGAGAAAGAATAAGAAAAGAATCATTCATATACTTCTTGTATATAGTTAATATATTTAATATATTTTGCACTTGCTAGTATACAATCATGCAACCAATACCCCCTAGCTATACCCTCCTGGTGTTTCGAGAGACCACCCCTGGTTGCCGATTTCCTTAGGACAACATGTCATGGCCATCCGACTGGTAATGAATACAGAGCAGTACCCATACCAGGAAAGTGTCTTAGTATTATATACGAACGTGAAGGAATATCCGTACTGAGCTGTCACCATCAGCGGCCCACCTCGACTGACCCGCAGTATATAACCCCAATTAATGGTACCTAATAATCTAAGCACCATGCTCACATTACTAAATAATACTCCACATCGCTGCAGCAGACATAGAGCAATCATAGAAATGAACATTAAACCCACACCAAAGCATATATCTGGTAAGCTAGTTACACAATTATATCGAGACAAGTACGAACTAAAGTTGGTACCCGAATAATATGAATGAAGTAGAAGACCAAAGCTATATAAAGAAGAATATTTCATTAATACTATAAGTCTTACAAAAGAAGGAAGAGCTAGTAGAGACATACCCAAAATCTTCTGAAGACTCGAGGACTAAGAGATCTACTCTATTCCTACTCCACTAGCACTAGAACAAAAAAACTAAACTTGAGAGAGCTTCTTGATCTTCTTCTTGAGTGTGTGATGGAGTGGAGTGATGTGTGGTCCTTAAATAAGCTACCAATGACGATTGTGGCGGTTGGCATTATCCGAAATACCACACAACCATCATTGGGTAGCAATCATGGATGTCCACGTGGAAGGAGGCCATCAACGGTGGAGCTGGGGGTTCGGCTGAACCCAGGGTTCAGCCGAACCATAGACTAGCCTAAACGGGCCACACTTTGGCAGGTGCGTCTCCTGATGACTCCTTTGTCCAGTGATATGGTGGTTGGGCCCATTTGATGCTATTTGACTAGATTTATAAGCCCATCCACCCATAAGTCTACCTCTCGACGGATTTCGATTGATGGTTCCGTTAATTCCCATCAATTCTCCTGCAATTATGTAAAGTTCTCTGCAAACAAATAAAATTCCAAGTACATGTGGAGATAGATTATTCTTAAACAAAATATGCATGCAAGCATAGCTTGTTCTCCTTTATTTTGGATATATTGACGGTTGAAATGGGTCAATAACAACCGCCAATAGTCATACAGTTGCTCAATGCTGACAATGCAGTACATCGATCTCTCTGTCAATGCCTATTCTTGAGCCTATCACATGGCTATCCCTTGTCCTCCCCATATCTGGCGGCTGCTTCATCATCGGCTCATCGTCGAGGGTAGCTAATGCTAGGGAGAACCCATCACTTGCTCGCCCGCTCAGATGGGGGAACAATATTACTAGAAAGTTCTTCTTCCATTTCATGAATAATTTTTGCTTTTATTTTTCCATCTTAACCTCACCAATTGTACCAATTCTAGGCCTGCCGAACATATGATTAAAGCAGGGGCAAATGGTACATTAAGTTTAAAATAATGAAATTAAAATCACAAGCCTAAATGTGGGCCCCCAGTTTTGGAAACCAGAAACCCCATGTGTTTACAATACCAATACCATTCCCTAGATCATCAATGGTATAACCATGACATAGATGTATATCACATTGCCTCCATTGTCATAAATGTCTTAAAATACATATAAGGGTTACCTGAGTGGGACCCAAATGGACCAAACATGGTCTTTTACAAATACAATTACCAAAAGATGTAGATAAGATAGCGAAACCAAAGTTGCGGCGGTCCACCTCTACTCCACATGCAACAACTGGAGAACCTAGGTTTGTACTGTGTCTTCTTCGACTCCTCCTTCTCACTGGTATAACTCTGTTGCTATGGGATTACTAGAACACTTGGCATTACCTTTAAGTAGTATGCATTGGTATCATGAAAACAAAACAGGGAAATCAGTTCATGTACTCTGTTGCCCTGATCCTTGCAATTGCAGAATGACTGCATTTGAAGCTAATAACTTCACCACATATTGGTAATTTTTCTTGTGGAACTGATAAGGGAAATTACATAAATACAAAAAAGAACATCACACAGATAAACCAATTGCAGTATGTGTTGAACGTTCCTGTTCCTAAAAAAAAATTCAGTTATGGATGTGGGAGAATACTGAAACCCAAGAAATTGTGAATGCTTACAAACATAGAAAGAGTTAAGGAAGGAATGTCAGTAATGATGATAGAAATAAATGAACTCACTGAATTTAGTTTAGAGGTTTGACCTTTTCCTCTCTCTTTTTTTAATTAGATCAGATACAAAGAAAGCAATCATGTACGATAATCTTCTCTTCCACATTATTCATATAGCTAATTTTAGAATGAGAAACATGGGAACATAATATATTTATATCAGGGCCAGTACTAGTATTGTGGTTAGAGGGCCATGCATGAAGCCACTATCGCTTGCAGTTCAACGATGGTAATCTGAAATCACATACATGATGATTGGAAATAGACAAAGTCCAAAACTGAGCAAAATATGACAGGAAACATAATGCAGGAATAAGATATTCCAAAAGCAAAAAGTAGAGCGGTAATAAAATAATAAAATGGCATACCAAGCTTTCCAGCAATTCCTATTTACTAAATGTTCGTCTAGCAAACATTATTGGCATTTGTGCAGGTGTAAATATATAATCACAATCAGGGTTTGCAGGCAAGATGAATAAATAATTTAGTAATCTCCTGAGAACCCTGATTCAGCTGAGAATTGGGTTACATATAAGTTGAGTGGAACATGTCCAAATATATAAGGATTTTTTCTTCATTTGATTACAACAAATTGTACGTAGGTAGTAGTAATGTAAACTTCCACCAAAATTATTCTAAAATTAAGACCTACCCAATGGCACCGGGTTTGCATTTTTATCCATTTCTTAGGATTTTCCCTTTTGCGTTAGATTAGAAAGGTTGATCGTTAACTCGACGTTTGTTGAACAGGTTACGTTTGCGAAGACAAAGCCACAA